GGAAGTAACCAATGTAAGGGAATAGGAATGTTGTATTTCATCAAAAGCATAATGAGTTTTATGAAATGAATATATATTACACGCAGAATTCCACTTAATTGTTTATGCCTGTGGATGGCATGAATACGGGCACTTACAGTACACTGTGGCACAGATGAGCGGTAAGAAGGAGTAGGGAATGTCAATCTGTGATTTCCACATTGGGCAGCAGCCCACCTTAGAGCGAACACTGATAACAAATACCATTTAACAACCAGTTCGCCGGACTCAACAACAAAAAATTGATACTGGTTTTGCGGCTGGATCCCCCCACTGGTGCTGTGTGTCCTGCGAAGGCGGGATATAATTGGGGTGGAGCACAAGTCAAAGACTAAGCGGGGACTTGTGCAACTTGTTCAAATGGACATATTCTGCTTCATGGTAAATAGTCAAATCTGTGCCCTGTCTTAATGACTCAACTGGCCCCCTGGCAACAGGTGAGGTATTTGGTTTGGGTTTGTACTAGGACTGCACTAGTCAGTTCCAAGGGAGCCCTGGTGGTGTAGTGGTTTTGAATTGGGCTGTGATCCCCGTGGTCGATCCCCGTGGTCGGCAAAAGACTGGACTTTTTCCTCCTCCTCCTCCCGTAAACTGTACAGCCTCAGGGTGTCCCTGTGAGTCAGCATTGACTCCATGCAGCAAGCATTCAGAATCCGTTTCAAAACTACCAAGAGGCGCAATGGCCTTGCTAATTCTGTCCCTGGGGGTTGAGTGGCAACAGGGCCTCATCAGCACTCCCTGTCTTGATCTATCAGTAGGGCTGGGGAAGGAGTAGGAACTGCTGGATGTTCTCATTGTCGTGAACTTGGCAACTGAACTGGGGTGAGCGGTCAAGGTGGCGTGGGTGTGCTGGACATCATTGCTATGTTGGATGTCAGAAAGGAAAGCGGGTGTCTTTCTGTGCCAAGGCTCATCAGATGGAATAGATGGGAGATAAAAGCCACTGACATTTGGATGCAAATAAGGAATGATTAAGCCTCTTTCATGATCAAGGTGTGGGCGTGAGAGTTCATGCCGCGGATGTGTTGAACCTCATTTAGCATTGCCATGCAAGTGAAGACTCGCCTACCATCACCGGGCTTGGTGAAATGGTTACCTTGGGTTTCACAGGGCTCTTACATTTCTCTTCTAGTTTTGTTTGTTTGTTTTAAGCATAAATATCTTTTCATGGCTATGGCCAGGTGCCCCCAAAAGAAACAAAAATGCTCTGCTTTCTCTCACCTGTTAGGTTAAGGCCGAAATGTCAGTCATAACTACCAGTGTTCTGAATTTTACTTGTTTAAATCAGCCTTGACCAGGTTTGTTTTCTTGGACTTTATTCCACAAATGCTCTTATAAGCACAGACTCATGCAGGGGGTCAGGGAAGTGTCACGCTCTCATGGAGTAGGCTCAGAGAGCACTAGCGAGACAGGCTCTAGGTTTCATTTTCACTGAAGAGAACGGAAGGTATTCTTTCTGCAATATTGAAACTCTTTCGACTCTGGATTTTCATTGCACGGATGCATCTCCTGCTGCAGAAACAGAGAACACGGTGCCACGGCCCTGACTTCCTGGCTGGTGTCCCCTTGGGCCCCACGGGAGCACCCGTCCATGCTCGCTCACACACATGCTCATTCCTTGATCATTCAGTGAGGTAGTGATAGCAAGTAGGGCTTGCCTCCTATCAGGTGGGAAGCAAGGATATTAGGTCCTAGCAACCACGAGGAATGCCAAGTGGGTGAAGATGGTCTCTGCTTGTAAAGAGCATATGATCCGAAAGAAATGCGGGCATTATGCAGGGTGGAAGAGGTCCTCTTCGTCATGGAAGTATAAGCCACAGTGGACACGTAGACCGTGGAGGAATCAGATCTCGCCATAGAGGGAGTGCCAGAGGAGTGGACCTTGAGGGATGGGTAGATTTGGGATAGGTAAAGCTGTGAAGGGG